CATTTTGATTGTAGTTGAAGCATTGCCTAAGGATACAACAATCTTTGCTAAAAGTAATCAGACCCAAATGTCTATTTTTGAATTTCAAATCCCTCATCATACCAAGAACCAGAAGATCTCAAACTGAATGAAGAAGACAATCAAACACTGTCAGTATCAATATGATAAGAAATTAGAATTATCTGACAAAGATTTAAAGCAGTCATGATAAAATAAGCAATTGCAAACACTTTCAGAAAATCTCATCAAAGACAGAGAAGTCCTACTGAGAATATACAGAAGAACCAAATGGAAATTTTACAACTGGAAATACAATAACCAAAATTAAGAAAAGAAAAAACAGAAACAGAAACAAAAAAAATTCAATAGAAAATGGAAGGATAGAGGAAAGAATCAGTTAACTGCAAAATAAAACAACAGAAAATACCCAACCCAAATAATCAAAGACAAACTAGAAAAACAACAACCATCATCACCACAAGAACTTCAAGTAACTGAGAGACCATAATAAAAGATGTAAAATCATATCCTTGGAATCCCAGAAGGGGAGGAAAATCAGGTAGGGCTAAAATACTTAAATTAGGCTGAAAATTTCCCAGATTTGGCACACAAAAAAGTGTAGATACTGATGAAGCTGAGAAACCCCAAACAGGATAAATCCACAGAGATGAACATCTCCACATAAATCCACAGAGATGAAGACCTATCATTCCCAAACGTATGAAAACTAAAGACAAAAAAAATATATGCATAGAAAGCAGCAAGAGTTAAATGACACCTTACATATATGGGGAACATATTAATAATTCAAATGACAGTAGATTTCTTACCAGAAATCACAGAAGTTAGAAGGAATTGGCACAACATTTTGCAAGTACTGAAAGTAAAGAACTGCCATTCCCAAATCCAACACCCAATGAAAATATCCTTCAGAAATGAAAGGAAATCAAGATATGTTAAGATAAACAAAAACTAAGAGGATCTGTCATCAGCAGATCTATCTAGAAGAACAGATAAACAGGTTCTCTAGACCGGAAATGATAAAAGAAGGAACTGTAGGAACATCTGAAGGAAGAAAGAATACAGTAAGCAAAAATACTGGTACATACAGTAGACTTTCTTCTCTTCTTCAGTTTTATAAATTAGGTTTGATGGTTGAAGCAAAAATGATGACACTGTCTAATGTTCTAAATGTATGTAGGAAAACATTTAATGCAATTATGTTATAAAGGGAGGGGTTAAGAGATGACAGGGAGGTAAGGTTTCTACATTTTACTTAAGATGGTAAAATAGCAATACCAGTAGATTATAATATTATTATACATATTGCTGTAGTGAATCCCTGTAACTTTAAGTTGCCTTGGCATCCATTTTAAATATAAGTTGGACTTTCTCATACCAGAAGCAGGGCTCAGTCACCCTTAACACAGTTTCCAATTCTATACCCTCAATCCCCCCCTCATTGTGGCCGAGCCAGGTATCTTCCTTATACAATGCTTCCTGGTGACCACATCCTGTGGGATAGCTAGATGTACCCTACTTGACTTGCTTTGCTGACCTCACACCCCACATGGACTATGCATATATGCCACAGTGACTATCTCTCAGTCAACTATGTGGCCTCCTGGAACTTGTGCTTGCTTGTTTAAATCAACAATTAGAACTCCTCATGGAAAATCTGCTTGGATACACCACTAAACCTCAGTAAAGGTGTTGATCCATGGTCCCTCTCTCTCTTTCTTCCTGCCTTCATTCGCTGACCTCCATGTGTGGCTCCAGGTATGCCATGTAACCTCAAGATCTGTAAGCAATAAAATGTTTATTTCCATCTTGTCTCTGTCTTAATCATTGGAAGTATGCTTTCCATCTTAAAGATCCTAAACTAAACCAAATGTAACACCAAGAAGAACTATATAATAAGCTATACAGTGATTAACTCAAAACACTATAGATAAATGAAGATGTTTAACCACAAGAAAGCACAAAACAAAAGAAATGAAAAACAGAAACAAAAAAAGTTAACAAAAATAAAGTTACAGTTTAAGCCATAATATACCATATGTACATTAAGTATAAATGGCCTAAAACACCAATTAAAACATAGAGCTTAACAAAGATGATTAAGAAAAAAATCTGAGCTGGTTGCAGTAGCACACATCTGTACTCCAGCTACTCAGGAGGCTGAAGCAGGCGTCACTTGAGTCCAGGAGTTTGAAGCCAACCTGAGCAACATAGTAAGACCCCCTGATCTCTTAAAAAAAAAAAAAACAGCAAGCAAACAATAAAAAAAACCAAAGAACTCAGCTACATGCTGATGCTAATTTCAAATATAACAATATAACCATGTCAAGCAAAAGAATGGAAAAAGATATATCACGATAACATGATCAAAGCAAAGCAGAGTGGCTATATTAATGTCAGATAAAGTGACTTCAGAGGCAAAGAAAAACCAAATCCAAGACATAGAAAGACATCATAAAATGGTAAAAGGGCCGAACCACCAAGAAATATAACAATCCTAAATATATATGCACCAAGCAACAGAGTTATAACATATGTGAGGCAAAAACAGATGAAACTAATAGGAGAAACATATAAATCTACAATGATAGCTAGATAATTCAAAAGCCATTTCTCAATAATAGAACAATTAGACAAAATATTAGCAAGGATATAAAACAACTCAAAAAAAAATCATCAACAAATAGGATCAAACTGACATTTATGCAACAAACCACCCAACAACAGACTACATATCCTCAGCCATAAAACAACCTCAACAATACAACTAAAGTAGAAAAACAGAAAGATAAAAAAATAACCCACAACAAACTACTAAATAAATAACTCATGGGTCAAAGAGGAAGTATTAAGGGAAATTAAAAAATGCATGAAATTGAACATAAATGAAAATGCTACATATCAAAATCTGTGAAACATGCTTAAAGCAGGGCTGACAGGAAAATAACACTAAATGTATCTGTTAAAAAAGAAGAAAAGTCTCAAGTCAATAATCTAAGTTTTTACTTCAGTAATATAGAAAAGGGAGAGGAAAATAAATCCAAAGCAAGCAGAAGAAAATAATAAAGAAATTAATGAAATTGAAAACAAAAAAATAGAAAAAAAATCAATGAAACAAAGACACGATCCTTTGAAAGATCAATAAAATAGATAAATTTCTAGCAGAAATGACAAAGTAAAGAAAGAAGACATGAATTACCCTTATCAGAAATGAAACAGGGCTATCACTACAGATACTGAAGATATCAAAAGGATAATAAGAAAATAATATGAAATACTCTACACATAAATTTGACTAGACAAAATGGTTCAATTACTCAAAAAGCACCAACTATTAGAAATCACTAATATGAATTACTTAATTAGGATAGCCCTATAGCTATTAAGGGACTTGAATTCATCATTTAAAACCACCCCCAAAAGAAATCTAATGGTCTGAGGAGTTTCACTGGAGAATTCTACCAGATGTTTAAAGAAGAATTAATACTAACTCTATATAATTTCTTCCATAAAATAAAAAGGATAGAATACTTCCCAATTCATTTTATGAACCTAGCTTAGCCTCACACAAAATCAGACAGTTCAAAACAAATAAAACTATAAACCAATATCTCTTATTAATATAGATGTAAAATTCCTTAACAAAACATTAGCAAACAGAATTCAACAATATATAAAAAAGAATTAAATACCACAACCAAGTGGCTTTCTTTTGGGGATGCATGGCTGATTCAACATTTGAAATAGAATGTAATCCACCATATTAAAAATGTAAAGATGGGCCAGGCGCGGTGGCTCATGCCTGTAATCCTAGCACTCTGGGAGGCCCAGGCAGGCAGATCGCTCGAAGTCAGAAGTTTGAAACCAGCCTGAGCAAGAACGAGACCCTGTCTCTACTAAAAATAGAAAGAAATTAATTGGCCAATTAAAAATATATTAAAAAAAATTAGCCAGGCATGGTGGCACATGCCTGTAGTCCCAGCTACAGTCCCAGCTACTTGGGAGGCAGAGGCAGGAGGATCGCTTGAGCCCAGGAGTTTGAGGTTGCTGATGCCACGGCACTCTAGCCCGAGCAACAAGAGTGAGACTCTGTCTCAAAAAAACAAAACAAAACAAAAAAAAACACCAAGGTAAAGATGAAAAGAAAAACCACATGATCTTATCAACCAATGCAGAAAAAGCATGTGAAAAAATTCAACGCTCATTCATGATAAAAACCTCAGAAAAACAGGAAAAAGGGGGAACTAACTCAGTTTGATAAAAAAGCGTCTATAAAATACAACTAATCTTATACTTAATGGTGACAGATTGAACACTTCCCCCTAAGATGGAGAATAAGGCAAGGACATCTGCTCTCACCACTCAAATTCATCATTCTGGTATTAATTCTAGCTAATGAAAAGAAGGGAAAAGGAAATTAAAGGCATATATATATAGAAAACAAAAATAAGTCCCCATTTGCATATAACATGATAGTCTATAGAAAAATCCAAAGGAATCTTCAAGAAAACTCCTGAAGTTAATATGGTCAAGGTCATAGGATACAAAATAAACTGAAAAATCAATTATATTTGTATATAGTATCAATGATAACATGAACATTAAAATTAATAAGACAATACCAATTAAAACCATTAAAAAAACTGAAATACTCAGCTGAAAATCTAAAAAAAAGTACAGGAATTTTAGGCTGAGAACTATACAACACTGATGAAAGAAATCCAAGTTTAAATAAATGAAGAGACATTTTTTGTTTATCAATTAGGAGACTCACACAGTAAAGATGTCAATTCTTTTCAAACTGATATACAGGTTTAATGCAATCCCTATCACAATCCCAGCAAGATATCTTACAGGTAGAGAAGAGCATTCCAAAATATAAAGAGAACATATGCAAAAAAAATTGTGAAAGAACAATATCAAGAGAAATAATATTAAATAGAATATTACTTGAACATAGATTCCTATTAATCAATTACCTGTGTTCCAGCATCTAGCTGCCTTAGTGACCAATATATAAATTTTACAAAGGGCTCGTGAAGTTTGGCATTCACAAATGGCATCCACTGTAGCTGCTCTGTCACCACAGGCAAAAGCTAAAGATAAAATGATGGAAAATATAAAGGCACAGTATTTTTAAATGTCTGAAATCAATTACCATAATTTTCTAGAAATTACATTAAAAAAAGAAAAAAGAAGAGCTTTCCAACAAAAAATCTTCCCTTTAAAATCATATGTAATACAATCTGGCAATATATATTTGAAATTTTAAATATGTATTTTCTTTTGTCCAGCAATAGCATACCTAGTTCAAGAAGATTAACCTATACCAAGATAGTCTCTGAACCTTAAATGATTAAATAAATTTGTAGTACATAAATAACTATGAAAAATGATTAACCTAGGTTTGTATCTATTGCCATGGCATATTCTGGGGTGAAAAAGCTGGTTACAAAAGAGCAAATGGAATAAAGATCCCAATATATAAAATATGGCTATATGAATTATAATGGAAAAGAGACATATGAAAGAATCTGAAAAAAAAGCATTAAAACGATAGAATCAAGATGGCTGACCAAACACAGGTAGCATGTGAAGAACTACCACAAAGAAGAACCATAATAGTAAGCAGATATATTTTGAACAGATCATCTGTGAGAGAAAGCCTGGATTCATCAGAGGAGTAACAGGAAGAACCAAAAGTAAGGAGAGGGTTCAAGGCAGTTTGCCTGGCTGGGGACTGGGTGGAAGCCAGGAGAAGCTCCTGGACACGGGGAAACAGTAAATACACTCCAAAACAGGCTTCTACTATCTTGGCTATGAGAGAGTTTTGTTTTTTGTTTTTTGTTTTTTTTTTTTTTTAGAGAGTATTTTGACTCATGCAGGCCTTGGGCCTAACACAGGAAACTGCCTAGAGATTGCACAGAGATGTTGATCCAGAAAGGGAATCCATACAAAATCCCACAGATATCCAAGCCTACAGCTGAGCACCATTTCAAGAGCCTTGGAGGATCTACAGACATGGCTGCTGCTGCACTACTCTGAGGAGACAGGGGACACTGGCGGTTCCCAATAACCCTGGGAAGGTCCCCATTACCCTGCTGCAGACTGCTGTTGAGACTGTCTGAGACATGAGCAATTTGCACTCCACACAGCTTCCTGCCCACACTGCTTGCCTGGAAGGGGCCTCATCCTCTCTGATGGCAGGCCCAAGGTGCCATTTTGAGAGTTTAGTGCTGGACTGTGTTGTGCCCTGCCCTTGAGCTGGCTCAGGCCACGTTTGGAACAACCCAGCTATAGTTGCCATCTGGCTGAAGAGGGACAGGGAAACCAGACTCACCTAGGCACATTTAGAATAATACCCACCACCCAGCAACCAGTGGTTATGAGACAAATTACTCTCCACAGCTTCATGCACATCCTGCTTGCCTGAAAGAGGCTCCACCCTCTCTGATAGCAGGCCCAAGGTGCCATTTTGAGAGTTTAACACTGGGTTGTGCCTGGCCCGTGGGCCAAGATCAGCAGCTTCCATTCAGTCAAGGAGAGACACCAGAAAGCAGGCTCTCTCATGCATACCTAGGACAATACCCGCTGCCATGCAACGAGATGCCGTGACGACAAGTAACAAGTGGGCTGCACTTTCCACAACTTCTTGCCCATGTTGCTTGCCTGGGCCCCTCCACTCTGGTCACAGGTCCCCTCACTGGCACCACTTTGAGAGTTTAACGTTAGGCTGCACCCTACCCTCTGGCCAAGTTTGAGGCAACACAGCTGAGGCATCCACTTTGGCCGGGGAAGGACAGGTAAGACCAAGTTCTACTAAGCACACTCAGGACCATACCCACTGCCCTGCTACAGGCTGCCATGGGACTGGAGACTAGCCTGCTCAACGCATCATAGCTAACAGCAATGCTATATGTTGAACTGTCCTTGTTTTCTGTCCAGTCACATTTCTACATGGTTGTCAATCATGCCTATGTAATGAAGCCTCCATAAAAAACCAAGAGGACTAGGCTCAAACAGCTTACAGGCAGCTGAACATGAGAAGATTCCTGAAAGGTGGTGTGCCCAAGAGAGGGCATAGAAACCCCCTACCCTTTCCTGCATACCTCATCCTGTGCATCTCTTCTCTGTTTCCTTTGTGATATCCATTATAATAAATCAGTAAATGTGTTTCTGAGTTCTGTGAGCCACTCCAGCAAATTAATCGAACTCAAAAAGGGAGAGGGTCATGGGAACCACAACTGGAAGCCGGTCGGTCAGAAGTTCTGCAGGCCAGGACTTGCAAGTGCTGTCTGGGGGTGGAGGAGGTTGGGGACTGAGCCCTTACCCTGTGGGATCTGACCTATTTCCAGGCAATAGTGTCAGAATTGAATTAGAGGACACCCAGCTCTTGTCTACTGCTTGGTGTGTGGGGAAAAACCCCACATTTGGTCACAGAAGTCTTCTTCTGTGTTTATTTGATTGTTGTAGAGTTTAGAGGAAAGCAAGGTTTGGGGAGTGTTTTTCCCAAAGAAGATACCAATCAGAAAGAACTTGAAATTCCAGATATAGAATTCAAAATATTAACTTTAAAAAAGCTCAATGAGATTCAAGAGAAATCTGAAAACCAATACAAATAGATCAGAAAATCAATTCAGAATATGAATGAGAAATTTACCAAGGAAATAGATATCTTAAAAAAAATTCTGGAACTGAAAAACTTACTAACGGAAATACAAAATACATTCAAAAGCTTCAAGAATAGACTGGAACAAGCAGAAGAAAGAATCTCATAACTTGAAGAAAGGTCCTTTAAAATAATCCAGACAGACAAAAATAAAGAAAAAGAATTAAAAAGAATGAACAAAGTCTTCAAGACATCTGGGACTGGGATTACCTAAAGTGACCAAACTCATGAACTATCAGTATTCCCAATGAAAAGAGAGATTATTTAAGGAAATAATTAATGAAAATTTCCCATGTCTATCAAAAGAGTTAGACATCAAGGTATAGGAGTCCCAGAGATCCCTACACAAATACATTGCAAAAAGGACTTCACTGCAGCATATTATATTCAGGATGTCTAAAATCTAAGTGAAAGAAAGAACTTTAAAAATAGCAAGAAGAAAATACACTGGTATTTTGATAGGAATTACGCTGAATCTGTAGATTCATTATCAAGCATTATGTACTGTATATAATTGTGCCATACTTTTATACTACTGGCAGTGCAGTAGCTTTGTTTACATCAGCATCACCATAAATACATGACTAATGTGTTATACTACATTAGAATGGCTATGACATTACTAGGCAATAGGAATTTTTCAACCCCATTATAATCTTATAGGACCACCATCACATATATAGTCTGTCATTGACCAAAACATCATTATGTGTTGTATGACTGTTTACTAAAAGGATTAAACACCATAGCTAAGTGGGATTTATTCCTGCAATGCAAGGTTCAACATACAAAAAAAAAAAAAAAAATCAGTGTAATATTCCATGTTAATAAAAAGAAGGACAAAACCCACATGATTATCTCAATTGATACAGAAAAAGGACTTGACAAGATTCAACATATTTTCATGATAAAACTAATCAATAAAGTGTACAGAAGGAAACCACCTCAATATAATAAAGACCACATATAAAAAGCCCACAGGGTATACCATAATGGTGAAAGACTGAAAGCATTTCCTCTACGATCAGGAACAAGAAAAGGATGCATACCCTCACCACTTCTATTCCCCATAGCACTGGAAGTCCTAGCTAGGGCAATAAGGCAAGAGAAAGAATAAAAGGTATCCAAATTGAAAAGGAGGAAGTAAAATCATCTCTGTTCTTGGATGGCATTTTATATGTAGAAAAGGCTAAAGATTATACAACATATATAATTGTTTAAAACTATTAGAATAAACATATTCAGCAAATTTGCCAGATACAAAATCAACACTCAAAAATCAGTTGTGTTTCCATAAACTAACAGTGAACAATCCAAAAAGGAAATGAAGAAAACACTTCTATTTATAAATACCATCAAAAATAAAATTAGAATAAACCTAATCAAGAAGGTAAAATATATACATTAAGAACTACAAAACAGTGCTGAAAGAAATTAAAATAGACAGAAATAAATGGAACAAAATCCTGTGTTCATGGATCGGAAAACTTGATATTGTTAAGGTGTCCATGCTAACCAAAGTGATCTACAGATTCAATGCAGTCTTTACCAAAATCCCTGTGGCATTCATTTGCTATGGAGAACAGTAGAGCAGCTTCTCAAACATTGAAAATAGAACTATATATGATCCAGCAATCCCACTTCTGGATATATGTCCAAAGAACTTGAAAGCAGCATCTCGAAAAGATATGTGCATACCCATATTCATAGCAGCACTACTCACAATAGCCATGAGATGGAAGCAACCCAAATATCCATGAACAGATGAATGGATAAACAATATTTAGTGCATATAGTGCATACATATAAAGGAATATTGTTCTGCCATAAAAAGAAAGGAAATTCTGTCACATGCTGCCACATAGATGAATCCTGTGGACATTATGCTAAGCGAAATAAGCCAGTTACAAAAAGATAGATACTATATGCTTCCACTTATATGAGGGATCTAATGTCAAATTCATAGGAGCAGAAAATTGAATGGTAGTCACCAGGGGCTGGGGGTAGGTGGGAATGGAGAGTTGTTATTTAATGGGTGCTATGGTTTGAATATGTCCCCCAAAATTCATGTTGAAAACTTAATCCTCAATGCAACAGTGTTGGGAGATAGGGCCTAATGTTTAGGTCACGAGGGCTCTGCTCTCATGAATAGATTAATGCCATTATAAAAAGGGCATTTGTGCGCTCACTTTCTCCTATTGTTCTGCCAAGTGGGTGCACAGCATTCCTCCTTTTTTTGCCCTTCTGCCTTCTGTCATGTAAGGATGCACTAAGAAAGCCTTTATCACGTGCTGCTGCCTTGATCTTGGACTTCCCAGCTGCCAGAACTGTGAGAAATAAATTTGTTCTTTACAGATTACCCAGTCACAAATGTTATAGAAGCACAAAAAACAGACTAAGACAATGGATACAGAGTTTGTTTTGCAA